ATTATTAGCATTAGCATTAGCCCAACGCACCAACGGAGAGAGACTAACTTATGGCAACACAAAAGAAAACATGGAAGCGGTGGAGATGAGGAGGTGTCGGCGTTCTGGCGATTTACTCGGAAGGCTTCAGTTGAAGCTGCTGGGAGTCCCAGGGAACTTATTACGGTGTGAACGCGATCTGTACTTAGTTCCATGGGGGAACTAAGTGCTGGGAACTAAGTACGGCAAAGTACTTGGTGTGAAAGCGGCTAATGGCATATGCAGAGTAAATTCCAAAAAGACATGTCCAATAATACAAACGTCATATAGGTTCATATTTTCGAGAAAAATTGACAAAATGTTAAAAAGTTCAATTAAATGAATGAATTGTGTATGAAGTGTCTATAAATTACAGCACATTGCAGACACAGTCACATGTTTTAAGTTAAAGTTTGTGTTAACATTTTAAAGCTGCTGCACGTGTATGTGTTGATGGGCAACACAAAATAGCAGAACATCCGAATATGCCTATCCGAACTTCCATCGCCAGCTCTTTAAAAGAACAAAGGACGTAATAAAGTCAAATTTCCCTGCTTGATTGGTATATCTCAGTTGCAATGAATATCTTTAACCTCTCATAGAGTGCCACAGTGACGCGTCCTAAAACCCCGAAGTAAACTCCTTACGGTCCCTTACACAAAAACGCAATGCAATTTCTCCATAGGATTTGGGAAAATAGCTGGAAATAAGGTCTGTGGTTGAAACACATTTAAGAGATGGATCACGTTTTGTTCAGCCGGATAATCTCCACATGTCTACCCTACTTTTATCATTTTCTAATCATAAATCTAGTCGCCAGAAGCAAAATGCTAACGTTATGCTATAAACTAACTACTACTTCAACATCACGCCAACTTAAAGGTTGGGTAGGTAATTTTGAAGAAACCAGCTCGAGTGCGCTAGAATTTGAAAATACACAGCCCGAGAAAATCTGCCACTTCCTTACAGAGCCCCTCCTCCAACACACACGAACGNTTTGCAGTCTGAATGCATTTCCCATACCTCCACTCAATTCCCACTGCCCCTCTTTTTTGTCCTGATAAATCTACTCGAATTTGCAAAACCACATGAGACGAGTGAATAGAGCGGTGCAGTGATGACGTATTTGTGTATGCCGACCCGGAAGTAAGCTGCGCATGGGTTCCCTCGACAAAAAAGCAACGGGATTTTGGAATATTGTAAAAAATAAGGTCTGTGGAAAACAAACCCGATGCACGTTTTGTTCAGCCAGATCATCTCCACATGTCTACCCTACTTTTATCATTTTCAAATCATAAATATAGTTGCCAGAAGCAAAATGCTAACGTTATGCTATAAAGGAACTACAGCAGGGTCGCTGCTTCAACGTCACGCCAACTTAAGATCCATATTCAAACATACAGATTCTAAATAGTACAAGTTGAAGCGTTTGTTTGAACAGTTTGCAGGAGGCAGGTACTTGCTTTCAAGCAGAACAGGGCAAACTAATTTAGAGGACTGTTTACGTGTTCGGTGTAATGACGTACAACGGCCTCGACAACTTCTGTAGTCCTATTCAGCCACTTGTTAACAACCATCGCTTCTCAGACACGTCAACTCTTCAGAAATCACCAGTGGGGTCACTGCTGATGTGTTTAATGTCTCTTAAACCACAGACCTTATTTACAGCTATTTTCCAAAAACTAGTTCAAAAATCCCGTTGGCTCTGCGACGAGGAAACCGGAAGTGGTAAAATGCTAACTCACTTCCGGGTTTTAGGACTCGTTCCTGCACGACTCTATGGGCTTCAGTGTTATAGATTCTGCGTTTGCACCGGCGCTAGACTGACCTTTGACCTCTGCCCACAGCTGCACTCAGGCTCTTCAGAAGCAGAGGAGGAGAACGACCCAGACGGTGCCTTCGCCTTTCGCAGGAAGGCCGGCTGCCAGTACTACGCTGTAAGTAATAATAATTCATTCTATTTAGAGGCGCCTTTCAAAGCACCCACCTTACAATTTATACAATGTTCTAAGGAAAGGTTTAAGACCGTACAAAAGCACCGTAACAGTGAACATGTAGCACTGCAGTGAGTAGGCTGATCTGAACAGGTGGGTTTTGAGGAGGGACTTGTACTGAAATCCTCCACACGCTGTATACAAGTACATACAAGAGCTTTGTTTCTACATGGTGGTGAGTTTACGAGGGCCTCGTGTCCCAGCAGTGGTGTTTCTAAATGTTTTTTGCAGCGCTGGTTAGAACAGGAACAATAAGCATCATTGAGTTGTTGTTTTATAACATGGTTTGAGTGTTGCTAAGCCTCTCCATTAGTTGGATAACTGGCATGTTGGTGTTCGTAACTGAGTTTTCTTTAGTCGATTTGTCCGTTTTTGACAATTCTGAATCACTTTCTTCAAAGCATGTAGTGTCCTCTAGTCAACACAAAGTGATGCTTTCACATGATTTCTTGTTGAGAAACTCTTTTTTTTTTTGTTCAAGGATCAAATTGACTTGAAAATTGATCAGTGGAAGAAACAGGGAAAGGTTAAGATGGCACAAATTTAATTGAATACCACAAAGTGTTAAAATTCACTTCACACGCTAAAAGTAATCAGAAAACATTATTTTTACTTTTTATAATTTCGTCTTCATAATCTTCAGTTTACGCCACATATCCCTACAGATCATTTAGATATCAAGACATTTTCTTCTCGTTTCACAGTCAAATGCAATCAGTGAGTGTCTTAGTGACAGTGATGTAGACACACCTCCATGATCAGAAAACCTTTATTAGTCTCACAGAGGAAAAATGTACATTGTTACAGCAGAAAAGAGCCAAAGACGGCTTAATGTTAACTAAGAAGCATGCATCCAAAAAATATTAAAGATAATAAAATAATACAAATTACACATCAGAGGTTTTGTACCCAGAATGAAAGGTGTGACCGTGGCTCTCTGTCTGCAGGTGCGTCAGGACCGGGTGGGCAGCTGGCCGTGGTGCGGACCCTGGGACGGCGGTTTGGCAGAAGCTCGTTTCCGCTACAGTCTCACAACGCTCACCGTGCCGCGCCGCTGCCTCGGGATGGCCCGGCGGCGCATGGGGCGAGGCGGCAGGTCGGTTAAACTCCTGTTTACTTTCTGCGCCTTTTTAGATTGACCTTTTTCTTTGTTTTTGTCATAATGCTTAACCGTGCAGTTTATTAGGTGTATGGATACCTGGCCTTTGCAATGCCATGCTGACAGCTTTTGTTCAAATATATAGATATGACACAATCTTACATCATTCATTTATTGAGTCTTTGGTAAAAAGTAAATTTTAAAGGTCACCTATTGTGCAAAATCCACTTCTTCACGTCTCTTCTACGTCAACATGTGTCAGAACAAAGATTCTCTCTCTTTTTGTCCTGATCCATTTCTATAACAACCTGTCTGAAAATGAGCTGATCAGATTTTGGCCACTTTATGATGTCATAACGATGTTTTGGCTTGAGTAACTATTAGCCAATCAGCAACCAAGGTAACCCCCCCCCCACCACCACCTTATCAAATACAAATTAAATGAAAGAATCAAGATTAATAAGATAAGTCCTGAAAAGTAGGTTTTCTATCTTTATTAACGTAGCTTTAACTTCTCCTCTCGCAGGGTGTTGCTGGACAGAGCGCACACGGACTACGACAACGTTTTCCACGACCTGGATGCAGAAAAGCTCGACACGTCTCTTCCTCCGTCACCTCCTCCTCCTGCAGCTTCTTCGCGCTCGCCGGCCTCCGACAAGCTTGCCAGTACCTCAGAAACAAATACCTCGGACAGAAGTTCCTCCTCCCCCTCTTCCACGGACCTCAGTCAGATACTGTTGAATATAAGTTCGTGCCGATGGAGGCACTTTAGACCACGGACACTACCACTACACGAGCTGGACAATGCCCACCCGCTATTCAGGAAGCTGAGTCGCAGCCTGAAGCGACCCGCCTCCTCCCCCACAGCCGCGGGACAGCCGTTTGGCTCGCTGCGCCCGGGGAGGGTCGTCCACGCACCCCCGCCCACTGCTGGTAAGTGGACCGGCTGCAGGATGTATCGTCTCGGCACTGACTTTGAGATGCTAGGTCTTTCTCTCTGCTTGATTCTTGCACGGGTCTTATTTTCACTGTTAAATCTACAAGGAGTCTGGTCTATTACTCACTCTGATTTAAAGGTCACCTATTATGCAAAATCCTCTTCTTCATGTCTTTTCTACATCAACATGTGTCCCCTCTGTGTAAAGAGACTCTGAAAGTTTCAGAAACAAAGATTCTCTCTTTTTGTCCTGATCCATTTCTATAAAAACCTGTCTGAAAATGAACTGATCAGATTTTGGCCACTTTGTGATGTCATAACGATTTTTTGGCTTGTGTAACCATTAGCCAATCAGCAACCAAGGTAACCCCCCGACCCCCCCCCCTCCTTATCACCTGAATCTCCTCCTAGAGCACCATTGTGTTCTTTTTAACCAAATCTCTCTCAGAGGGGCGTGGGGAGGGGCTCCTTATTGTCATCTAAAGTAACAGACAGAGAATCAGCTCTTTGAAAACAGGGCTGAAACAGAGGGGATTATGGGTAATGCTGAAATGCTCTGTTTGGTGTTTGGAGCCAAACACTTCAGAGACATGTTTTGTATATATCTGAGACCTATAATATATTGATGAGAAACAGTAAAATAGGGGACCTTTGAGGGTACAGAGTGGTTGCTATGGAGGGCTTTGCAGACTGCATGCACAATAAACAAACAATCAAATATAATTGTTTATCGATTCATCAAATTGAAAAAACAGTCCCGGCTATTGTTGCCCGCAACCTGAAAGAGGAAAAACAAAGAAAATAAGCTTTGGTTCGACAAAAAAAAAGTATTTAATTGCAAATATGTTTGATTTGGAAACGGGACACGCACGCACGCACAAACACGAAACTCACGGCGTCTTCAATCTATGAACTTTTTTTTTACGAGTAATTTTCCTCTTTATAACAAGAGACATTTTATCCAGCCCTGGTTGCATTCAGACGGTGGTTTTGGTTTTATTTGCTCAGCTTTCTGCAGCTATGATTTCTCACTTAAGTCCGTCTACAATGAAAGCATTTCCCTTTTGTACATGGAATTAATTTTTTTATTTTTTGTTTTTGTCCCAATATTCCGTTTTCACACATTAGAAGAAAGTATTCCCATTAGAAACTGTTGGCAAGCTCTGCTGATTATGGAAATAAATAAAATAAAACACGAATACATTCAATATCCTCTCAATTCTGTTGTAAACTAGGCCCATAAAGAAAAATCAATGTGAATGAGAGATACTACTCTGGATAAGAAGAGTAATATGTGTCCTGGTCCAACTGAAGAATGCTAGTTCACAGAGGTTATTGGCATCTATCCAATTATTCGCACACATCGTTATACACACACACACACGTCTGATTGCTTCCCTTTTTCAAACCGTCATTTTCCTTTCACCTGGATCCCTTTAAACACTGTGTCCGTCCTCTAGCTGCATCCTGAAGGCCTTCAAGGTGTTGCTTTGCATTCACAGAGCGCCACCTCTCTGCACACGGTGTCAATTAAATCTGGTGTTTGATAAATAAATTCATGAGATGCAGAGGATTTGTTTGTCGGGGTGTGTGGACTAGGAGGCGTGGGGCTCTGAATACAAACTAAATGTCGAGCAGATGTTGCAACAAGCACTTCACACAGGAGTGGATTTATGCTCTGATGCGCCCATCGATTCCTGCTTTTGTTAAAACGTATGTGCATGTCAACAAAGTGAAGGACACAAACCAGAGATTTGACTCCAATAGTGGTTCAATGTGCACAGAGCAGCCGCCAAGGTTGGCCATAAGCAGAGCTGAATTTATAAGTGTTGTAAATGAAATGCGACAGATTGCATGGAATAAACATGAAGGGCGTTCCAGATGTCCTGTAAACGCCTCGCGGGGAATCAATACCGCACTGAGGCATAACAAAAGGCCACACTAATGCCTCGTAATGTGGGAATAAGACTTCACAATCAATAGAAAGCCAGTAAAGACAGATTTAAGAACATGTCATTGACAGGGTGAATAACTAAGGTGCTAAAAAATACTCAAGAAACCAGAAGTTTGAGGTTTTGTCTGGAATTTGTTCACTGGAGTAACAACAAAATAAAGGCATCTGGCTGAAGTTGCTCTAATTAGAAAAGGTGACGTGTTAAAATACTCTTGCACAAGAACTGGAGATATGCAGGGACGAAAATAACGTGAAATATATGTGATTTTTATTTAACTAAATTGTAGAGCCTAATCACTTGCAAAATGTATCTGAGAAGAGCATGGGATTCATTCAGAAGTTGACAACACGAAACATCATCCATGCGTTTTACTTTTCATTTAACTGGGATAAACGGATGGACAGTATATCATTGACTGAATAATCATGTGTGTTATTATTTTCCTCAAATGTAAAACTGCCCCCCATTAGACAAAAAAAACATTAGGAAATCACGGCAGGACTTAATAACTGAAGCAGGAGTATCTTTTGCATATCAAGGTATGGATGTATGTCCCAGATGTGTAACTCTCTCCCGGTGTCTGTCAGCTTTCACAGCCGAACAGTACCAGCAGCATCTGGAGCAGCTGGCCCTGATGCAGAAGCTGCAGCTGGAGCAGGTCCAGCTGCAGCTGAAAGCCAACAGCACCGCCACTACAAACAGCACAAAGGTCGGTTTCCCACAAATGAAAAATTATGTTTTCCCTATCATCAGTGGCTTTAAAGATCACCTATTATGTAAAGTCCACTTCTTCATGTCTCTTCTACATCAACATGTGTCCCCTCTTCTTCATGTCTCTTCTACATCAACATGTGTCCCCTCTTCTTCATGTCTCTTCTACATCAACATGTGTCCCCTCTTCTTCATGTCTCTTCTACATCAACATGTGTCCCCTCTGTGGAAAGAGACTCTGAAAGTTTCAGGAACAAAGATTCTCTCTCTTTTTGTCCTGATCCATTTCTATAAAAACCTGATCAGATTTGGGCCACTTTATGATGTCATAACGATTTTTTGGCTTGTTTAACCATTAGCCAATCAGCAACCAAGGTAACCCC